CATTCAGAATGACTCCCGCTCCCGCACCACTCCCATGCTCTGTTCGAAAACCTAGGATTACGTCATAGTGCGGCGCCGAGGTCAGGTCGGATTCCAAGACTCCTCGTTATGCGGCCTTAAAATGCATCCTTCTTTTAGCCCGATTTAAAGGACGGGTGTCGATGTATCCTCGGTATCCTTGATTTACCCAGGATTCATTGCGAGACCAAGCAAGCCGTGATCAGAGGAAAGGTTACTTGGCGCCGAACAGTGGTGAAAATTGGAAGTTCAGTTTAATATAATCCAGTCTGTGAATAGGTCCGTCTGAAATGAATGAAAATAGTTGTTTTATGGTTATTGAGTCAGATATGTGGCAGTAATGTTTGATTTATCTAAAGGTTTTTATCTGTTACTGTGTAAATGGGTTTGGCTGTAATTTAAGGACAGATTCTAATATATCTGCAGGGTGGGGGGGGGACTATAAATCTGATAGGATTTTTATCTTTTTATTGCTGTTTTGCACAATAGGCTTAACTAAGATTTTTTTCTTGTTTAATATTAGAGATTTTGCAGATATGTTTTTTAGATTTACTTATATCTTTCTACCCCTTTTATAGAATAGAATAGAAAATCCCTTTACTGTCCCACAATTGGGAAATTTTGTCACACAAAAAAGATTATTGAAAATGGTCACACAAATGTGGACCTTAGAAAAATGTATAAGAATAACATAATAGGGAAGAGTTAAAAAAAAACAAAAACAAAAAAAACAATACAATTCTGTAAAGTGTTTTAACAATATAAAACTGGAGAATAAATAACCAATATGCAGCTATGGACATTTTTACAGTAATGGGTATTTTTAAAATAGCAGCAACATCAGAGATGTGCAGAATGACAGCAGCAGGTTATTTAACTGACTAAGGTTTCTATCATTACATTTGATTTTATTTGTTCCTGCTCCCGGTGGTTGGAACCTTTATTCCACTCTGGATTCTCATCAGTCTTTGTTCACTTTACAATAAAAAAGAAATAAATAAACAAACAATTTTGGAAACTTCAGTTTTCATTCTTTTCCTGCTTTGTGTGTCAACTTTCGCGGTTGCTAAGCAACAGACCTTACGGCGATAAAACCCGCTGAAGGGTAGACCTGGTCGAATTCACAGCCAAAACTCTTCCGGTCTCCTTATTTTCACGGACTTCAAAGGATCCAGTCTAAGTAGACCGCGTCCTTGGAGGATGCAGCCCAGGATTTCGAACAGAGCCCCATTCTTGTTGTTTTTGAGCGCGGGTGAAAAACTCAATCACTGTTGGTTTTTGGGTCGTGTAGTTTTTTTGACTCGCATTATAGTGTAGGCTTAAAGGAAAAAAACTACAAAATGGCGGCGCCGCGCCAGTACTGGATTTTTTTTCTTTCTATTTTATTTTATTTTTTGGCATCGATCCTAGTTTTTTTTTAGTTATTATCGGTTTGCTCCCGCTCCCGTCTGCTCCCGTTAATGTTTAATCCTGTACCGTCCCAATCACGTGATCGTTACTAATACTGGCTCCCATCCCACGGGAATCCCACGGGAATCCCGTGACCCGTGGGATTCCCGAAAAAATGTCAGTCTCTAATGCAAAGTCAATGGTTGATGCGCGACAAAGTGCACCTATAGGTCCTGTAGCGCTTTTTGAGCAGCAGGCGCAGCGTGTCTGAGCAGCTGAAGTGGCATTTGAGCATCTGTTGCACCGTGCGCCGCAAATACGCTGCTGCTCGAGATGAAAAAATTTAACTTTTGCTGCTCGACGCGCCACATCAACCAATCAGAGAAGCTGATCTCTGAGCTGGCAGGGGGACAGACACATCGCTTCTGAGGATACAGATCACTATTATCACTCCTGTGAAACAGTTTATTAATGTCTAAATCAACTTAAAATGCTGAAACCTGCTGGCAAAATATGTTCACTTTTATTATACTGGTGTCTGCAGTTTTGATGGCATACATGAAAACCGCTTTCCAGCCGCCGTGGCAAACCGCGAGGAGGCGACCGGGCCAGAGGCTGTTGTTGAATGGAATTCCTACTGACAGCGCACCGCCGGTATGTGGGAGTCTGAGCGGCTCCCACAGAAAAAATATTTGAAGGCAGGATGGTAACCTGGATGAACTGACTGCACTGATGAAGTTTTTAGGTTTACTTTTCCCACTTAAAAACATATTAAATCTCCTTTATTCCCACTGATCACAGCAAATATAGCTGCCAGGCAAAGAAAGGATAGAGCAGCTCCACCCAACACGCATCAGACCCTCTTTTTCACCACGCGCAGCTGAAGCAGTTTTGCTGCTCCTGCTGCATGTCTCAACTAAACTTGTTCAAGCATCAAAAATGAAGCAGCAGATGTGTTTTTGCTGCTCCTGCTGCGTTTGGTGTGAACGCAGCAAAGCACTGGTTGAACAATAACAAACCTTTAAAAACAATCTGGCTTGTTCTGGGATAAGTATTTCTGGTATGCAAACACTCCTCACTCAGACATTTTGTGGCCTTGCAGGTGAAACAGACTAAGTAAAAACATTTTACACTGGATAAATAGCATAAATCAACATATGAAATAAGAGAAATCTAAATTTTCTGACCACAAGATGTTGACACCAATGACCCTGTACATCTACCCAGTGACCCCAGAGAGCAAGGCCTTAGATACCAGTTTAACCAGTTCATACTTTAACTGCTGCACTGGTTTGCAGAGCCAGAATACATGAAAATAATAATCTTATTGGGAGGGAAAAGGTGAGCAAGTATTAATATCAGCAAAAAAACAACCTATCTTGTAAATTTGATGTGATGTCGATCCTGTGAAGAACCTGAAACTGAATTAAGTGAATTTTTGTGTTACATCTCATTGAATAGACACTTCTGCATATTGTTTTCCAGTTAATGTTAGTGAAGTCTGTCGACCATCTTCTTATTGTTAATGTTATTGAGCTGCCATGATGTGAAAACAGGTGACGTATTTGTGAGACAATTTTCTGCCGTGGGAGAGAACATAGTTTTTGAGTTTCTGCTGTTAATGTAAATTGTTTTTAGGAGGTCATTTTAAGACAATACATCACTACTTCCTAGGAAACGTTCACTCCATAAGTTTATGCACTCAGAGGTAATTGAGATGGATGAAGCTAGCGAGGTACCTCGTGATAACTTTTAAATTAAGGATACAGATTTGGACCACTGCCAGGAGCAGATTAAAGAAGTTGGACTCTGCATTATTCTAAAATGTATTAGAGAGTTCAGGAAGGACAATAGCCAGCTGATGAAAGAGATCCATATGGAAAAGTAATTATGCAATAAAAGAGCGGGGGGAAAAAGATGTGAAAACTGTTTAAAACTGGGACTCCCTGAAAATTAGGATACCTGCTAACCATAATACAACTACATACAACTGGACCTGGTAAACATATTGTCTTCCTGACCTTACCTAAGGATAACAGTACAGAGAGCCTTAAGGTGCTGTTGTGGTATTTTCCCTACTCTTTTATGTCCACATTAACTACAGTCCGTCTCTACATACATTTGATTTTTTTTTTTATGGATCACGTTAAAGTATATTCACAGTTCATTCCATGGTGTCCAAATATCTAACCTGTCTTTAGCATGCAAAGACCACTCTCAGAGCGAGGCCAAATAAGTACTGGATGGTCCACAGCATTATTGATCCCTCAAGTTTTGGCTGACAGTTTACCTGCATAATCAGCAGAAAAGTCAATAATTTTCTTTGCTCAACAGGTCACCATTAATATCTATGTCTACTCTTCATCCAGACAATAAAAACCCATGCATGTCTGATCATTTTCTAGTTATCTAAGAGTCCTTTTTACTTTGTCGACGTCTCTATATAATCATAAAAAAAGCTTTGGCATCGAAATGTTTTAATCATGTTCACAGTTTAACAAAACAACAGACACAAAAGATTTCTGGACCAGATTCAGAGGTTCACATTAGGAGTGGGTGACAAAATTTGATGTGCGATTCTTCCACAAAGCCAGACTCCCAGATACATAACATCCATCCATTTTCCGTCATGCTTATCCCAAGTTGGGTCGCGAGGGATGCTGGTGCCTATCTCAGGCTGTCTATGGACAAGAGACGGGATATACCCTGGACATTTCATTGCAGGGCAACACAGAGACAAATAGGAAAAACAACCATTCACGCACACCTAAGGAAAATTTAGAGAAGCCAATTAACTTAACAGTCATTTTTTTTGGATTGTGGGAGGAAGCCGGAGTACCCAGAGAGAACCTACGCATGCTCAGGGAGAATATGAAAACTCCATGCAGAAATACCCTGGGAGGAGAATCGAACCCAGAACCTTCTTGCTGCAAGGCAGAAGAGTTATCCACTGTGGCACTGACCGCACACCTAGATAAATAACGTACAAAATTAATACATTGCTTTAGGTATCTTTTTTCATCATAAATAGTAGGTAATAGAAGAGAGGGGACAATAACAATATTCTTTGAATTTAGTTTTATACTTCTAGTACAAAGAAGGGAACATAAGGAGGATATGTGCTGGTGACAGGAAACTTAGATGGCTTAATGGTAAGTAGGTTACACAGTAAATGTATGAATTGACACATTTTGGCCTTTTTATATGGAAAGAATAACCACTGCCATATGACTGTAGAAGAATGCATTTTGTTGATTAAATAAACTGCAGCAGTTTGGCCATCATTCATTTAAAAGAAGAAGCTGTTTTGAGTTCCATATCCTCATTGTATTGTATAGTGTATTGTGTAGCATATTTTGAAAATGTTATTCTTTTTTGGAAGAACACAAATCACCCTTATCTATAATATCTTTGAAAGTGTGGATGTAATGCTGAGTAATAACTTAGTAATATAAAATGTATATGTGAACAAACATGTAAACCTTGCATCACTTTAACAAGCAGGAGATCAGTTTTCTATTTTGTATGCTATTTACTGGTTCTTCTTTGGAAATGAATCCCTTGGAAATGACTGGTTCTGACTTATCTCTTAGACTGAAGTCCAGAAGATGGAAGATCGTGATCAAAAAGGGAATATGACAGAACCTGCAGGATCTAGTTGTCCATCTCTGAAGAGTGATGGATTAAAACGAAACACTCCATACTTCAGTAATGAACCTGGACTTTCAGACACACAGTAAGAAACGTTCAAATTGATTATTTGATTATTATATGACACATTTAATCAACCAATGAAATTCTCCCACTTAGAAAGATGAGTGGTCTGGAATTGTCATTATAGGTTCACTGAGACAATATGAGAGGTACTCTCGGGCAATCACTACCTAGACGTTCTTCTTAGAACAACTTATATAAATATGATCACATCAGCTCTGTTATACTAAATTTTCCTGCATGTGTTAGTTTGACACATGTGAAGGGCAGTTAAAGTTTATTAAGATGCGGGCAGACTACCTGGGATGTGATTGCCTGGCAGCAATGGGTATGAGGGGACCATATGGATGTGGGGGCCTGGAACGGCTATGAATGGCCGTGGAGGAGGTGGGCTCTTCATCGGGTTGGCTACCTGCCCTGGTGTCTGTGGGCGGCAGATGCAGACTTAAGACTTAAACTGAACTTTATTTATACCTTGGGATTACTCCTTCTGAGAAATTCTGGGCCCCGTAGCTTATATAGTGTACAAAGCAAGATTCCATTAATGATAAAAATACAACAGACAGTAATAAAAGAGTGTATACAGCACAAAAAAGCATAAAAACGTTATAATGTCCTTGAATATATTTCCCTTAGATATAAAAATATCTGCACAGTAGAGAACTAAGGGACGACTACACAATAGCTGACTTGAATTATTGCACTTGTACTACGGAGATGTACTGAGCTTATAGGTTTCACAGTAGTTGTCATGTGTTATTGCACAGTTAGAGGGGAATATTGCATATGGGTGACAATAGGTAATGTTTTGCATAAGATGTCCAAGGAGGGGGTGCTGACCCCTTTTCCTCTTCCTATTATGTCCTCCTTCCCCCAAGTGAGGAGCTTTACAGTTTGATGGCTTGAGGAACAAAGGAGTTCAGTACTCTGTTGGTCCTGCATTTAGGGAGGAGCAATCTCCCACTGATAAGGCTCCTCTGAGTGGTGAAGACAGTATGCAGGGGAGGGCTGGCATTGTTCATAATGTCCAGCATTTTGTTTTAGTGTCCTTGTTTCTACCACAATCCCCAGAGGACGCAGCCAATTGCCAATCACAGAGCCGGCTCGCCTCAACAGTTTGTCCAGTCTGGAGGTGTCCTTCTTGGATGTGCTGCTCCGCCAGTGCACTACAGTGTAGAAGAGGACACTGGAATCCACAGAGTGGTAGAACATCTCCAACAGCTTATTTGAGATGTTGAACGACCTCAATCTCCTCAGGAATTACATCCTACTCTGTGTCTTGTGGTTGGTGTGTGACCAGTCCATTTTATTGTCCAGGCACACCCTAAGGTATTTGTATGAATCCACAGCCTACACCTCAGCCCCCTCCAGTAGTACTGGCTAAGTCTTTGGTCCATTCCTCCCAAAGTCTATGACCAGCTCCGTCGTCTTGGAGATGTTGAGCTCCGGGTGGTTGGTGTGGCACCAGTTGGCAAAGACCTCGACCAGACTCATGTACTCCTCCTCTGTGTTACGCCTGATATACCCTATAATGGCTGTGTCATCTTTGTACTTCTGTATGTGAAACAGCCCAGAGGTTTAACAGAAGTTAAAGGCGTATAAGGTGAAGAGGATAGGGGCCAGCACTGTGCCCAGGAGGGCTCCAGTGCTACTGACCACAGTGTGAGAGATTATGTCTTTCAGCATGACACTGTGGCCTGTCTGTGAGGTAGCTGGAGTTCCATGCCACCAGGCAAGCATCAACTCCCATGCTATTCAGTTTGTCTCTGAGCAGGGAGGGCTGGATGGTGTTGAATGGAATCCTTGCTGTGGCACTTCCCTTATTCAGGTAGTAGTGGACTCTGTGTAGTAGGTAGAGGATGGCGACCTCCACTCCTACACCTGGCTGATATGCAAACTGCAAATGGTCCAGGGTGTTTTGTCTTTGAGGTCTGGGGAGATTGTGGAAGATCCATAATCTTCATCAGATGTGAAGTGAGGGCCACAAGATGTGTGTTTTTTGAGGGATGCCGTTGAGGGAGTGCGGCTAGCACCATTATGCAGGGTTGTCACTTCTAAGGCTGGACCTGCTGGTCCAGCGCTACACAGCTGCTCTCCTCCCCTATGGTGGCCCTTTATTCAGGCCCCTCTATTTTTTGCCTGTCACCTTCCCACACTGGGGACTGCTGAGTCTGTGGGTCTGTTCCCCCTAGAGGAGGAGTCACAGATTAGTGGACCGCAGTCCGAATCCGGACCCACCTGCTGGCTAATCCGGACCCAACCTGATTTAAAACATTTATAAATTACCTCATTTTGTCCGATGACAGTGTCTAACTACACTTGCAGCTAAATCTGAGGTACGTTATTAGATTTTTCTTGTCTGGATTCAGCACAGCACTCCAGAGTTCCTTTAACTACCAAGGATGGTGTTCTGACCCATGACCATGTGAACGGTGTCCATGTGGATGCTGGGAACAGAATGTGGGAGCTAAAACCTGCCGAACTGATAATGTGAATGAGCCAAAGTCAAAAGAGCCAGTACGCTGCTTTAAGGCAGTCTGAGTGTCCCTTAAAAACCTGATCAAACTAAGATAGAGACTTTTGTTAGTCAACAAAAACAGACCTGATCAAACATATTAAAGGTTCAATGATCAGTTCTTGATTTAGATCAGAGGTCACGGATTAGCAGACTGCGGTCCGGATCCAGACCCACCTGCTGGCTAGACCGGACCCTATCCTTATTTAAAGCCCACTGCTCTCATTAAGCCATAAAAAAGAGACCAAAAAAATAACAAACATTCAGTTCAGGTGTTTTATAAAATATGTGAATCAGGAAATTGTCTATATACCAAACTTGACGACTGTTGTTCTTAACTTCAAAAAACACTTTAGATTTTAAAAGAGAAAAATGTTCTATTTATTTTTAGATTTTTATTTAAAAATTATATGTATACAACAAATACATAAAAGCCTAACTTTATTTCAGTGTTATATTCAGTTTAAATTTACAGATCATTAAAAATGTCTCTGGACCTTTATGATTTTCTTTATTCAGATCCCGCAGATTTTTTATTGGTTACCCCTGCCCTAGAGGGATTGGTCCCAAGGCCTGGGAGGATATTGTCTGTATAAGGAGTTTAATGTGTTTAGTGTCTGCCCCTAGGTGCTTCTCTGTTGAGTGATTGTATATGTCCATGTGGGTCTAAGGGTGGGATTGCATGGATGTGACTGGATGAATATGAAATTGTTTCTGTCTACTTGTCATGTTGGGTGTTTGCCTACCCCACCCCACCTACTGAACGTCCTAGGCCCCAAGTATGAGCAGGGCCTACCTCCTCCCCCTTCCTTCTGAAGAACCTTTGTAAATCCTTTATGAATGCATGAATGCATACAAGCATGAATGCATACCACAGGAATTTGGTTCCAGATGTTTACGGATACAAACTAATACTAAATACTAAGCTGCAACTACAGATATATATCACCCTGAATATTATTATGTAATTGCCATAGGTTTTGACTTCAACACACATAGATATCTAAGAGATATCTGCTGCTCCTGAAGCTTTTTTTTTATATGTTTACTTGGTTGTCTGTTGTCTTCTTTTTGTTGTGCCAGTGGGTGCACAGTCAAACATGCCGGCGGACACCAGCGGTGAAAGAAGCTGTCAAGCCAAAGAAGGAGTCCTATCAGGCTTTATTGGCCTGTGGGACTCTGTAAGCCACTTATGTGTATCAGTGGTCAAAGCGATAGGCGGCTTGGCTGGTTGCTGAGACAAAAACTCAGACATGGGAAGAGTTCGGAGAAGCCATGGAGACCACTTCCTTAAGGCTTTGAATCAATTCTGCTCCACTATCCTGCATCTCTGAGAATATCTGGGGTATTCTCAAGAAGAAAATGAGGGGCAATAGACCCAACAACAAATAAAAGCCAACAGCAGACACAGAGGAAATCTGGGATTCCATAAATTCCAGGCAATACCATAGGCTAATTGCACCAATAACGTTGCACTGAGGTAGTAATTAAGCAAAGGGATTACCAACCAAGTATTGAAGATTGACATATTGATTTGATGTGATTCTACATTACTTATTTTTTCTGGAAAAACCGAGGCGTTTTATTATGTTTTATTATTTTTATTATTTTAGTATTCTAATAACTGTAATCAATAACTCATAAAAGTTTGACTTTTTAACAGAATTAGGGAAATAAAAAAACGTTTCCATGATATTCATAAATTGTTTGAATACAATTTTTGCATTTGTGAAGTAACAAAATACGTTGTACAAAATGCAAAACAACATAAAATAAATTTTGTTTTCTTTCCACATAGCTTCAAATACCTCATCAAATGCATAAAATTCTTTCCTCACTTGTCAGGGGAAACTATTGCAAAATAGAGATGAACATATGTGTATAAAATACATACCTTAACTTCATAAAGGAGCTTAAAAAAACATACATACATAATTACATACATCAACACAATCAGCCAGTACAGTTCTTGATTTTAAAAGCTGTACTGACTTTTTTTTGTCTGTTACCATTTTGGGGAGATTTTATCATCTATTTTTATTTACCTGTGAATTCTATGGAATACATACACTATTTCTATGTTTTATGTACCCAAAACTGGAAAAACACTCTAGTGCCGAAGTAGTGACAGTCCATGGCTCAAATAGTCCTCAGTGATGAGTCAACCAGCCGCAGTTGTGTGAGAGGACCAACGAGAACACGGCACCACCTGGTGGTGGAGGGAGAGAAAGACACAAAAACACAACCCACACAAACTGGATTCCTAACAGTACCCCCCCTAAACGACCGCCACCAGGCGGTCCAGAAGAGCCGGAGGGCTGAGAAAGGCGGAAGTCCCTAATGAGGGAGGGGTCCAGGATAAAGGATCCATTGCAGCGGATGCTCCAATGGTCTTTTCCACCTCATAAAGTACAATGAAGTGTGGAGACATCTTTTTAGACATAGCCTTTTAGGGGATGTCCCAGACTTTCTGGCCCAGGGAAAACGTAGGGGCGACCCTCCTCTTGCGGTCGGCCAATCTACCGTTCTGTTCGGCAGATCTACTGAGGGTAGTCATGGCTCTGTTCCAGATGGTTCTGCAACGGCGGATGTGATGCTAAACAGGAGGCACCGCAATGGCAACCTCCTCAGCTGAGAAAAGGGGAGGCTGATAGAGGCCTCGAAAGGGATAGTCCTGTGGCAGCAGATATATGAGCGTTGTGGGCGTACTCAACCCACGGGAGATACTGGCTCAACTCAGTGGGATTGGACGCTGAAAGTAACTGAGGCTAGCCTCCAACTCCTGGTTCATACGCTCAACTTGACCATTAGATTGGGGATGGTAGCCGGAAGTGAGTGAGACCTTGCCCCCAAGGGCCGAACATAAACCCTTCCGAACCTGTAAGATGAATTGCGGGCCTCGATCAGAGAGTATGTCTTGAGGAATCCCACGGAGCAGGAAAACGTGCTTGACCAGGAGTTGGGCTGTTTGAAAAGCTGTAGGGAGCTTCCTTAGAGAAACTAGATGGCAAGCCTTGGAGAAACGGTCAATGATAGTGACAATGGTGGTCATACCTTGAGAGGTGGGGAGTCCAGTGATTAAGTCTATTGCAATGTGGGACCAAGGTCTCTTGGGAATGGGCAAGGGTTGAAGCAATCCAGTAGGGGGCTGATGAGAAGGGTTGTTCCGAATGCAGGTTGGGCAGGTACACAAACTCTGTTGGGGGTCCGGTACCAGGGTCACGCTCAAACTGTTGGGCCTGCTTGACAAGGTCCTCAATCTCCCAAGTGACTGTGGCTACTGAGCAGCTAGGAGGCAGGATGGCAGCAGTAGACTCCTCCGATTCCTCTGAGGCAAACTGCCTAGAGAGAGCATCCCGTTTAACATTCCAAGAGCCAGGACAAAATGAAATGGAGGGGTTAAACCGGGAGGAAAACAGAGACCAGAGAGATTGGCGTGGGTTAAGTCTCTTGGCAGACTGAATGTATGACAGGTTCTTATGGTCTGTCCATACCAGAACAGGGTGTGCAGCTCCTTCCAACCAGTGTCTCCACTACATAAGAGCTAGCTTAATGGCTAAGAGCTCTCGGTCTCCAACTACATAGTTTCTCTCTGCTGGGGAAAGTCTGTGACAGAAGAAAGTACACGGGTGTAACTTGTTATCAGTGTCAGAAATCTGGGAGAGGACAGCTCCAACACCTGAATCAGAGGCGTCTACCTCAACCACAAATTGCTTGGTGAGATCAGGCTGGATGAGAACAGGAGCATTGGCAAAAAAGTGCTTGAGACGAACAAAGGCGGCCTCAGCAGGTGTGTCAGTTAAACCAAAAGGCATCACCAGGTACTCAAAATGACCTATGGGAGTTTTGAAGGCGGTTTTCCATTTGTCTCCCTCCCTTATACGAAGAAGATGATAGGCATTTCTGAGATCCAGTTTGGTGAAGACAGTGGCTCCTTGAACAGGCTCAAAAGCTGATGACAAAAGGGGCTAATTATATTTGTTCTTGACTGTAATTTGGTTTAAGCATCTGTAGTCAATAATTCAATTCAATTCAATTCAGTTTATTTATATAGCGCCAAATTCACAACACATGTCATCTCAAGGCACTTTACAGTTCAACCAGATCATACAGTCAATACAGTGTCTAAGAGAACCATCCTTTTTTCCCACCAAGAAAAATCCAGCTCCGAGAGGAGATGAAGATGGACAAATAATACCTGCAGCCAGGGACTCCTTAATGTATTTTTCCATAGACTCCCTTTCTGGCTTGGAGATATTGAACAGACGGCTGCTGGGCAGAGGGGCTCCAGGGAGCAGATCGATAGCACAGTCATAAGGTCTGTGGGGAGGCAGAGAACAGGCTTTAATTTTTCAAAATACCTGAGATAGGTCGTGGTAATCAGCAGGAACGGAGAAGAGATCAGGTTGGTCTGCCTCACAAGACTCGGCATGGCAAATCTGTGACAACGAGATTGACAGTTTACAGACCAAGAGTCAATATGCCTGTTTGTCCAATTAATAGTGGGGTTATGGAGATGGAGCCACTCAAACCCTAAAATCAAAGCAGAGTTAGCTGTGGGAAAAACCTAGAAGGAGATGTGTTCTGTATGATTTCCTGAAATGGTCAGCTGAATGGGAATGAATCCATAAACAGGGGATGAGGAAAATCTGACCTTGGCCCAATCCAAAGCTCGGTCAGTAAGATGTGAAATGATATAAGAAATATTATTTGAATCCAAAAGGACATTACTTGGGGCATGGTTCAACTGAATGGTACACTGCAAGAGAAAACCCGGCACTTCTTGGGGTTTCCATCTAACCTGGGATGACTGGGCAGCAGACACTCAGAAAAAGAGGGAGGAAAAGCTGCTTGGTTAGCTTGAGGCGGGGCTAGCACACCGGCTGGGCCCGAAGCCTGGAGAGAGAAACGTACAGCCACTCGACTGTTAAGCTCTGACAGTTGGCTGTTGAGATCATGGAGAAAGTTGTGATGTTTCTAGATTACAGTTTGTTGAAGGTGAAGTGCCCTCTGAATGGCTGGCTTCTGCTGGGTCAACAATGTGGCTAGAGTGTTCCGTCATGATTTTCTTAAGTGATCTGACCCACATGCAGTAAACTACCAGGGTAAAAGTTTTAACAGGTTAGTTGATAAGATCAGCGGGGATTGGATTCAGGAAACTCAGTGTACAGCACCACAACCAATCACATTCAGGCACTTGTGTGGTGCGTTCAGAGCCCACAGGGCATACTGCCAAAGACAGAGTCTCCAGACTCTGTTCTATTCTGGGGCTGCTTTCCTAAAATCACGGTGTCTTGGATCTCTGCAGGGTACCATGAAATCTCCTTTCTGTCTTTTGTTCATTAATGATGGCAACATTAGCTCCTCATGCAAAACGAACAGCTTTAATTCTGAAAATAGGGAACAGATCCTCTGATCTCCACCATCTCAAACTAGTTATGATCAATGAGACAGTGTCCAGAACTTTCATGGCTTTGCAGCACTAGCAGGGGATAATGTCGAGGTATTCTAAAAATTAAATAAATATATTCTTATTAACTACAAAAAAGTATGAGATTAGCTTGTTGACCGGGAGGCGTTGGTTTGACACGTGATTCAGACCGATAGAACGGAAAGATTAAGATAATATTCATGTTTAATGAACTTTAATACGTCTTATGTGCAGCAGTTTGTGTTCAAACTGTATTTTATCACAAAGAATCTTAATAACAACCTGTTTTTGTTTCAGAGGTCAGAACCACAGGCAGAGAGCAGAAACTCCAGGATCCAGCAGTCCATCTATGAGGAGGGACTTCTCCCAAGGACTCTCTCCAGAATTCTGTAATGAGCCTGGACCTTCAGACCAGAGCCCAAGAAAAAGAGCAAAATATCCAGGATCCAGCTGTCCATCTAGGAGTACTTACTTCTCCAAAGGACATCCTCCAGAGTTCAGTAATGATCCTGGACCCTCAGACCAGAACCCCAGAAAAAGAGCAGAAACTCCTGGATCCAGCTGTCCATCTATGAGGAGTGACTTCTCCAAAGGACACCCTCCAGAGTTCAGTAATGATCCTGGACCCTCGGACCAGAACCCCAGAAAAAGAGCAGAATCTCCTGGATCCAGCTGTCCATCTATGAGGAGTGACTTCTCCAAAGGACACCCTCCAGAGTTCCGTAATGATCCTGGACCCTCGGACCAGAACCCCAGAAAAAGAGCAGAATCTCCTGGATCCAGCTGTCCATCTATGAGGAGTGACTTCTCCAAAGGACACCCTCCAGAGTTCAGTAATGATCCTGGACCCTCGGACCAGAACCCCAGAAAAAGAGCAGAATCTCCTGGATCCAGCTGTCCATCTATGAGGAGTGACTTCTCCAAAGGACACCCTCCAGAGTTCCGTAATGATCCTGGACCCTCGGACCAGAACCCCAGAAAAAGAGCAGAATCTCCTGGATCCAGCTGTCCATCTATGAGGAGTGACTTCTCCAAAGGACACCCTCCAGAGTTCCGTAATGATCCTGGACCCTCGGACCAGAACCCCAGAAAAAGAGCAGAATCTCCTGGATCCAGCTGTCCATCTATGAGGAGTGACTTCTCCAAAGGACACCCTCCAGAATTCAGTAATGATCCTGGACCCTCAGACCAAAAGTAAGACCTAATGGTTATGAATCTGCAGGGCCCAAATGGGGATTGAACCAAGAACTTATACTGGAAACTGATGCAGAGGGAAAAAAATATAATTTAAGTTTTTTGTTTAGATGGGACATAAACTAGGTGTTGAGAAAAGAGAGTATACTTTAAAGGAAAAGCTGTGTGCCGTTAAAAGAGAATGTGACACTGTTTGAACTAACCGAAATTTCCCTGATTCCTTTAGTATTTGTTAGTAGTTATTGATATGTGCACTGATTAATTGTATTAGGAGACTGGGGATATTTATTAAAAAGAAGTGTTTATGCAATAGACCTATCAATAGACTGTCTGCAGTGGTTTGTAATAATATTCCAATGAAGGAAACCAAACAGATCTAATTTTACTCATTTTGAAGCCCTTACTGCTAAGGTGGGAGTAGCTTAAGTCACCTTAACACCATCACTTATCAGTTACAGCTGATCAAGGCTCTGTTTTGGCAAAGGTCTGGTCCTCATAATATTACAGGAAAGGTAGTGACAAGCACCCGTGTACGGCATACTTTTTGTGCCATCAACCTGAGCGTGCAATTACCAGACTGAGCATACAGTGACACCGACGTGCAACATTTCAACTCAAATTCCCTCGCTCAAAACCTTTCTGACTTGTCCCCTCCACATATAATTAATGCAACACCATTTTACATTAGTTATATTGGCATGAGTGGAATGGCAGAGCTAATCAAGATTATATATGGTGTCGGATGCAGTGGTGTCGGATGCAGGAGTTTGCCCTGAATTCGGAGGGTTTTGGGTTTGAGCACAAGCTTCGGGTTTCAGTGTTGTTGTGTCCTTGGCCCGGTGGCACCAGTGTACTGCAGTCTCGCTTCTGTCAGTGAGACTTTGACATTTTTAGACAGATTGTATTTGTCATTTTGTTTACAGTAAAAAATAAAAAATAAAAAAAAAGAAGAAACTTCGTTTGGAAACAGCTCACTGGACAATTTCATCTTTTAAAAGTGTAGCCTTGAAAAATAGTAAAAATGACTGTAAATTTACAGTTCAACATTTTTTTTTTTGACCCAGGGCGCTTTGGTTGCTTTACTCTACATTCAGTCTTTCACCCACACACTGATGGTAGCAAGCCGTAGCTTTCAGTTTGGTCAAGTCTTCTGACTTGAAAAAGTGCTATATAAGTACAGGCCATTTACAATCTACCATATATTTAAAGGGGTCATAGAATTATTATATAGGGTATTTGGTGCTGGTCCTTAATGTCTCTGAATAGGGTGTGTAACATTGGTTGGCTGAAAATGGCATATTTGCTGTTCTCTGTGCCCTGACGCAAGCCTGGTTAAAAGCCCTAGAATGAAACAACAGGTTTTCTTCCTTTTATGGTATGCTCATAAATATTTAGATGAACTGAGCTGATTGGTTTGTTTACAATGTGTGAAGCTGCTGACCAAAGACACTTGGGGGAAAATGTTGAGTAATAGATGTCATGTGTGATGACTTAGAATATTTTTTTCTTTTCTATTGAAGGTAATTATTGCAATATATATTTTTATTTTTATGTAAGCTGAGTACAACTGAACATTGAATGTGTGTATTGCCTGACTACTATAAAACAGTTATTAATTGATCAATATTTTGTGTTTAAAAACACTTTCTATTTAAAATCATAATAAATAAAATAATAAAAATTTTACGACTGAGGGTCGTAAATTATGTTTTATTATGTTTTTATTATACATACTGGTGGTCCCTATTGCATTACCCTATTCTGGCAAAGCAGAGTAACTTTTACAGCTCAGTATGGTGAGCCGTAGCTTGCTACCATCAGTGTGTGGGTGAAAGACTGAATGTAGAGTAAAGCAGTTTGGTCAAGTCTTCTGACTTGAAAAAGCGCTATATAAGTACAGGCCATTTAGAAATCTACCATATATTTAAAGGGGTCATAGAATTATTATATAGGGTATTTGGTGCTGGTCCTTAATATCGACATAAGAGACATCAACATTGTTCTGAGATTTTGTTATTATACAGCTTGATCTCTTATTTTGATGGACCCTCGTGAATATTATTGTTTGAACATTTTGGTAGTTTAATTATCGTTGTTGGATCAGTAAGTACATTTCAGTGATGAAGATATGTCTTTACAGATGGAGGGAGAGGAGCAGTATTGATGTGGCAGAACGGTTGTCCTGCGCTTTGTGTCAGGACTTTCGGAAGAAACTGGTCTCTACCACCTGTGGACACTGGTTCTGCAGACAATGCATCAGATCTTTCTGGGACAAGTCTGCTCCATCAGGAACCCCCTCCTGCCCTCAATGTGAAAAAAGATCCAGAATTAGAGCAGGACTGCGGAAAACCACCCAGAACTGCTATGAGGGAGGTAAGACTGAAAATCTACAATCAGAGTTTCCTTCCAGTATCTTTATTGAGCCAATTACACTTTAATGCATTTTTTTTTACTTATTTTAAGAGGGACAGAAAAAGATATATTCAACTCCCAAAAGAGGATGAGATATATTATGCTATGTTCACACCGGAAGCAGCAAGAGCAGCAAAATCGCGTCTGCTGCTTCATTTTTGCTGCTTGTACCAGTTAGTTCTGAGTCACGGCTGAAGCTGCTTTGCTGCTCTGGCTGCGCGGTGCAAAAATGGGTCTGACGCGCGTTGGGCGGAGCTTCACTATCCTTTCTCTGCCTTGCAGCTATATTTGCTGTGATCAGTGGGAATAAAGTAGTTTTCATATGTTTTTAAGTGGGAAAATCCACCTGAAAACTTAATCAATGCAGTCAGTTCATCCAGATTACAATCCCACTTTCCAATATTATTTCTGTGAGAGCCGCTCAGACCCCCACATACCAGCGGTGCGCTGTCAGTAGGATTCCATTCAACAGGAGACTCTGGCCCGGTCGCGGCTGAAAGGTGTTTTTCATCTAAATAATCTAAACTGCAGGCACCAGGATAATAAAAGCGAACATATTCTGCAGGCAGATTTGTGCATTTTAAGTTAATTTATGCGTCAATAAACTGTTTCTGAGGAGTGATCATAGCACTCTGTGTCATCAGCGATGTGTCTGTCTCTCTGCCAGCTCCAAGATCAGCTTCTCTGATTGGTTGATGCGTCGCGTTGCGCAGCAAAAGTTAAATTTTTCCATCTAGATCAGCGCGTTTGCTGCGCGTCACGCGAGTCAGATGCTTAAACGCTCCCGACGTGCTGCTTCAGCTGTTCAGACGCGCTGCACCTGCTGCTCAAAACGCGCTGCGGGACCTTTTGCTGCGCCTCGACGCGCGTCAACCATTGACTTTGCATGTAATATCACTGCTTCTGCCGCGCCTGCTTCGTCCGGTGTGAACGTAGCATTATACTCGGTTATAGTTCTATAGGTTATAGCCATGTAGAACCTGGGCTAACTTGTGTTAAAATTGTGTAACAGAAGGTGATACTGTTGATAAAAAGGTTCATGTTAAGATCAAATGTCAGTGAAAGGACTGCAACTTGAATCAACACTCTCACCCTTGCAACTCTGTGGCTCATAGCGTCCGCCATTCGGATACAGCAAGCCAAACAGGCTATGAACCTTTCTTTTTTCTTTTATTCCTTTCCTACAACCTTTTCTTTTTTTTCCACATCCTTTCAGTCTAATATAAATATGATGACCAGGGAATGTATGACAATGGTGAATGTATGTTATGTTTAATAACATGCATTAATAAAATTAGTTAGTCAGCTGATTATTTCACACAAGCAGAGCACTCCCCTTTAAATGAACCATCAACTTGCCAATGGAAAGGACCAACTGGAACCTTAAAAATTATTTCATTTGATGGATAAAATTGGTTTTGGCTGTAAATACTGTGCCCAAACCCTCAATCATCAAAGCTAAAGCTGGGTAATGTTTAGATCAAATTTCAGTGATGTAACAGGAGCAACTGCCCTCTGACAGTGCCTAGTCAACTACCTGTTGCCAGTGGCCTATTGCCATGTAGCGCTTGACATGCCAGTTCTCAGCCGAAAGCTACGGCAACTAGCAACCAAGTCCCTCCAGAGAAGTCTTTGCTTGCTGGACCGAGTCAAACTGTCTTTTCTACAATTCAGAAGAAGATAAACATAGTGACCATCTTTTCCTCCGATTCAAAGCAAGTAGAACACAGTTTTTCGGCAATCTGTGTGCTGAAGAAGATGAGAGAGCTATCCAGGGCAGCACCTAAACCGGGTCATAAAAATACTTTTGGGCCAAAAGCAAGCTGCCTTCCATGGCAGCTTGGCAGACAGGCAGCATGCAATAAGTGAGCTCAGACTGAAGAAACACACATGGGGATAAAGGAGAGAAACACACACAAAAAGACTAGACGAAATTGTGCAGCTCACAGGCAGCGGAGTCAGGCAGCAACTGATCCTGTTTCGTGGGTCGGAACCACTCACAGCACAGAAAGGCACACTACACACAGGGCGTCTGGCCAGGACGTGAACCGGATGCTATCCATTTAGTTTCTGCCCTGCCTGGGGCCATACTTGGGGTGTCTCCCCTGCCCATGGCCACCTCCATGTCAGGGTCATAACATAAGTACCCAGTATTTAAGGCAGGCAAATAGTTAGATTTCTCAGAATATGTATTGATAACTGAATTGCTGTAAGTGGCATCGGGATTTTAGGCAGAAACCTCTGCGGGTGGAGAGCGCAGGTTGGTGACCACATCTTCTGGGAATGAATGATCATGAACGTATGAGCCGCTAACATAGTCCTATAGTTCAATTCCAATCCAGAGATAGATGATGTTCCAGGCTGCCAATGAGGTGCGGTGGTTGCCACACAGAGAGTCGCAGGCGCTGATGTATCGGTGGTTGGAAGACAGGTATGAGATCAGAACCGAGCAGACGTAGGCAAGATGATCCAGAGAGCGAAGCCAAAGCCGATGTTGGTGACATTGTGGGTTGTCAAAGCCAGGAGGTCAGGGAACCGATAAGGTGCCGGAGAAGAATCCAGGGCAGAGTCGGCTCCCATCCAAGTGCTGTACACAGTGTGGTTGACAGGCTGGACAAGGACAGGTAGGCTTAGTGGTCAGGAAACAGTTCTGGTTGGATAAGATGAGCGGGTAATGAGGACTGTGCAGAGCTAAGCTGGTATGTGAAATGAGGGATCAGACCAGACATCAGTGCTGAGATTATGACACTCCATGGCTGTCCTTCTGTCACTGTAGTTATTTTTTTCCTCCTAGTGCATCTGCCTAAACCAGCAATAAAAAGGTCACTGATTACTTACTGTGCAATCAAAACATTAAACAAAACATTAAACAAAATAAAGTATTTAGTCATGCGCGTGCTTTGGTGGCACAGTGGGTAGCACACACAACCCATGTATGGAGGCCTTAGTCCTCGACTCAGGCAACCCAGGTTTGAATCCGGCCTCCGGTCCTATCCTGCATCTCTCTCCCCCTCTCTCATACCACCTTTCCTGTCAGCCTACTATCCATAAAAATGAGCCACTAGTGCTTTAAAAAAAAAAAAAAAAAAGAAAGTCATACATGCACTGTATAAATAGTAAATGCCCTGTATTTATATAGCGCTTTTTCAAGTCAGGAGACTTGACCAAAGCACTTTACACTACATTCAGTCATTCACCCATACACTCACACACTGTTGGTGGCAAGCTGCATTGTAGCCACAGCTGCCCTGGGGCTCATTCGGAGCCGGGGCTTGAACCGTCTATCCTTTGATTTCAGGGCAAACTCCTACATCCGACACCACTGTCAAGGTAAAGAAAACAACTTTGGAACTAACCGAGAATAGCTAAAACCATGAGTCACACTTCGACATTGACATGTGGTGTTCTACAAATTAACAGTGTTCGGGTTTTGATAAATTTCATCTATGGTATCACAAAATCAGAAGTAAGAGAGTACTCTTACTTCTGATTTTGTGATACCATAGATGAAATGATAAAACCTTCTAAATTTATAGATGGTTTGGTTCCATCTTTATCCGAAATAAATGTATCTTTCCAACAGTTGTCTTTTCTTCTTTTTTTCAGCAGATGCTTGTCTGCAGGAGGTTCTAGAGGAACATAAGGTCAGTCTGAGGAGGAGATTTGAATGTGTGGATGAAGGAAGTGATGGAAAGGGAAATAGAACTCTCTTCAACAAGATCTACACCGATCTCTACATCACAGAAGGACAAAGTGAAGAGGTTAATACCCAACATGAGGTGAAGCAGCTGGAGAGAGCTTCCAAGATCCAGAACCTCCATGATTCTCCAATCAGGTGCCAGGACATCTTCAAACCCTTACCTGAGCAACATGGAGCAATCAGAGTGGTTCTGACCAATGGCGTCGCCGGTGTTGGAAAAACCTTCTCAGTGCAGAAGTTCACTCTAGACTGGGCAGAGGGTTTGGAGAACCAAGATGTCAGTGTGGTGGTTCTGCTTTCCTTCAGGGAGATGAACCTGATCAGAGATCAGCAGCACAGTCTTCTCACGCTGCTCCATGTTTTCCATCCAACCCTCCAAAAGCTCCCTGCAGAGAAGCTGGCTGTCTGGAAGCTTCTCTTTATCTTTGATGGCCTGGATGAAAGCAGACTTTCTCTGGACTTCAATAACAGTCTGCTTGTTTCAGACATCACTCAGAAGTCATCAGTCAATGTTTTGCTGATGAACCTCATCAAGGGCAACCTGCTTCCCCTGGCTCTGGTCTGGATAACTTCCCGACCTGCAGCGGCCAATCAGATCCCACCTTCCTGTGTTTCCAGGGTAACAGAAGTACGAGGTTTCACTGATGCCCAGAAGGAGGAATACTTCAGAAGGAGGTTAAGTAATGAAGAGATGTCCAGCAGAATAATCTCCCACATTAAGACCTCCAGGAGCCTCCACATTATGTGTGGAATCCCTGTATACTGTTGGATCACTGGTACAGTTCTGGCAAACCTTTTTTACAGAGAGCAGATAGGAGAGCTGCCGAAGACCATGACTGACATGTACTCACACTTCCTGCTGGTCCAGAACAGGAGGAAGAAGAACAAGTACCATGAAGGACATGAAATGAGATTTCCAGACCTACTGGAGACTGAAAGGGAAGTTCTTCTGAAGCTGGGGAGAGTAGCATTGGAACATCTGGAAAAAGGTAACATCATGTTCTACCAAGAAGACCTGGAGCAGTGTGGTCTTGATGTCAAAGAGGCCTCGTTGTACTCAGGAGTTTGTACAGAGATCTTCAAAAGAGAGAGCGTGATCTTCCAGAAACCAGTCTACTGCTTTGTTCATCTGAGCATCCAGGAGTTTTTGGCTGCTGTCTACATGCTCCACTGTTTCACCAGCAGGAACAAAGAGGTGGTGGAGAACTTCCTTGGAGGAAAATACAGGGAAACATCTCTGGAGGATTTCATGAAGAGAACCATGGAGAAATCCCTCGGGAGTATAAATGGTCACCTGGACCTGTTTTCTCGCTTCCTTCATGGCCTCTCTGTGGAATCCAACCGGAGACTTTTAGGAAGCCTTTTGAGTCAGAGCAAAAATAGTCCAGAAACAATCCAGAGAATCATCAACAATCTGAAGGAGATGAACACTGATATTTCCCCTGACAAAAGCATCAACATCTTCCACTGTCTGATGGAGATGAAAGATCTCTCAGTTCATGAAGAGATCCAACAGTTCCTGAAATCAGAGAAAAGATCAGAAAATGAGCTCTCTTTGTTCCAGTGCTCAGCTCTGGCATACATGCTGCAGATGTCAGAGAAGGTTCTGGATGAGTTGGACCTAGGAAAGTATAACACTTCAGAAAGGGGACTGCGGAGACTGGTTCCAGTGGTGAGAAACTGCAGAAGGGCTCGGTAAGTCCAGATGTGATTCTTATTTAGTTGATTCTAATATTTTATAATTGAATATGTTTATCATTGAAATCAAGATCCAGTTTTCATTAGATTTTATTTTCAAATGGAAAGAAGCAAGAAGAAAAACTATATTTCCTCCAAAGATTGTTTTCTCTAAAATTCCAATTAACCAGAGAGATTTGACACTTTAAACAATTTAATTCAAATCTGTTTTTTATATAGCACAAATTCACAATCAAAGGGAATTTCAAGGAAACTGTTTAAAGGTTCATTGCAGTGTTGAAAATACATGGTGAGGTTCTACCTGCTGGGTGTTACTGCCTGATGCACCTATACCAGGGCCTTGAACATGTGTGCCTTGCACACCCCTGGGCTTGAGCTGATCATCATCTGGAGATAATGAGTCATTGATGTTTCTCTCCTTTAACCCTAGTACATCTCTTGGTGGTGGATCAATGACAGGGATCTCTCCCTGCCAGCCCCTACTGATGCCCTAGGTATAAGCTCCCCACCCATATCTCTCCTCCATAGCCATAGCCATAAACTGACCTTCTCTGCCTCCTCTGCCAATTTCCTGATTGCTTTGGGACGTCCAGCTCCAGTGCATCCAAAGTCCCAAAGAAGGCGACCCACCAAGGACCCATCAAATTCCCTACAGCCTACCTCGATGTGGCATGTAGTTGCTTTCTGTGTACCCATGGGACAGTGACTTCCACCAGGAGGATAGTCTTGCATGGAACTGACCAAAAGATCAGGTCTGGCTCCAACTTCAGTTTTCCTCCCTGGGAAACTGAAATTGTTTCCCCAGATTGACCCCCATTGCTCACTCACTGCCAGGTGAGAGGAGAATTGATGATAATGTGCATTGGGCAGGTTTGGGGTTGTCCCTGGCTCTTGTGAAGATGATGTGCAGCATCACTGGTGCAGGAGGCATGTCATGAGCCTCATGTCTGCATGCCTCTGCCACATCTGCCAACTTACTCTCCACTGTTCTATGCAGCTTTCAACCAAAAGAGGGGGCCTCGTCCCTCCCCAACTCTGCACAACCCTCTTGGACTCTACCCAACACCTCACAATGTTTCAGCCAGACCTCCTTCTGGGCTTTCCCATATCCTTCCTGTTCATAAATGGGAGCCAGCTGCTCTCACCATTTGTTCGGTGGGTTCCCTCAGCTCCAGTGCCAATTGGGCCTTCTCCCGGCTGTATCCATGTCTGATAGACAGCAGTCGCCACTGCAGCATATTCCTGATAACAGTTCGAAGTCTGACAGACATCTTGGTAGGCCCAGCTACTTCTTGATTAAGAAGATAGCCAGCTTGTCTATCTTGTCTGCCACTATAAAGGGGGCCTTGCACATCTTCAGAGGCCTCATCACCCTTGAGTAGAGAATTATCTGTCAGCTCCATACCTTATAATTCTTTGGGAGCTGGCTCTTATTGATCCTGGCCAAGCCATCTGCAAACTCTGTAATTAACTTTGAATGAAAGGCTCTGGAGTGATCTCCCACTCTCATTATGTACCCTTGACTATGTTCAGGCTTTTAAGAGCGATCTCAGAATGTATCTGTTTTGCAAAGCTTTTTAACATGAAAGATTAGATATAGTTCTAAAAAAGAACCAAAACAAAACCAAGATAATGTCCATGAACTCTTTTTGTCAATCCACATTTTTCCTGCAACAGACAGCAAGTAGACCATGGCATGAATTTTACCAATAAGTAGTGAGAATGGTTGGTGTTAAAACCTTAATGTTGTTCTACAAACATATAACCTGAGCTATTTGAACCACTTGCTCATCTTCTAAATTAGTCTCCACCACTCAGATTGTATGAAGCTTCAAATTAAATAAAGAACTAACTAAGGAACTGAAAAGTTTCACAGTGAAGCACAGGAAATTAATCAAAAATCCAGATATTCATGAAATTAAAATATTACTATCTATAAATTATTTTAGTCTGCGTCTTTAATACAGATTGCTCAATTTAATTAAAGCTGACTGTTTCTTTTTTTCACAGACTTGTTGGTTGTTCACTTTCAAAGACTGAGTGTGAAATTGTCGCCTCTGCACTGAAGGCCAACCCTTGTCATCTAACTGAACTGCACATATACGAAATCTTTGGATGGAAAACACATGGTGACTCTAAGCTGAAGCACCTGTGTGAGATACTGGAGAGTTCAATCTGCAAACTTAAGATTCTTAGGTTAGTTTTCTGAGTGTATCCAACATAATTTGCTGATACTTTGACTTTTTAAATAACTAATTAATTTTTCCTTTTTTTAAATAACCCACCATCCTTATGTATGAATAACTATTTATACAAGTGTTAACTTTGTAAATTAATGTTTTTTTTCTTATTTCAGGCTTTCATTTGCACTCAGAATTGTTTATATTGATATACAAAAATATTTAAAATATGTAGCAGTTTGATTTTGGTTTTGAAAAAAATCTGAGAATAAGAAAACACCTTTTCTTTTATACTTATATCTTATTATCTTATTTAGATGTTTTTATGAAAATTTATTTTGTTTCTCTAAGCCTAATAATAAGATAACATAAACTGAAATTTTTCTTCTTTTATCAATCAGTAAATATGAGAAAATTGTACCACCATGATCAACCCTTAGCTTTGTTGTTTTAGCATTTTCCATAAGATGTCTAAAATTAAATGAAAATATCATGCCAGAATTCCATCATAATAGATAGGTATTAATAATTTAAGTGCTTCCTTTTCATTTACATTTTTTCATTCTTTTTACTACTTAATTAACTTATGATGGGAAACCTAAATCCGACAGGTTTCGTGTTAGATGTGAACATACCATAATAAAGTGGTTGATGAGACTATGTAATCATTCATCGCTCATACAGAATCTAGCTTGAACATCCTGAAAACAAAGACATAGGCCCCAACACCAGAATCTCACTAAAGCACAGAAAGGTATATATATTGCTTATGAATATATTCCTTACAATGACATTTTGGGATTGGTAGTATAATAGACATGTTGGGTTTGAAAGGTTATTAGCAGGTAATATTTTACCTCCAGTAATCTTTATTTAGTATAGATCAGAGATGGACATTAATGGAACTCAGACTAACTGATAAAATATGAAAAATCTTACTCAAGCACCAACACTGAACAGATTCCTATCTGAATTGATTTGAATGTTGATCTGAACTGTGAAACTCTCTAACATTTCATACATAGGATTAGTTCATTTCTGTTTCAAATGGTCCTAATGTTTACCTGTGGCAGAGGTTTTCAAGCCTTAGCTGGTAGTAGAGGTAGATACTGATTCCTAATCATGCAATATCAGAGGTCTGTTTGTATAACCTATTAGCTACACTCAAATAGACATTAGCCACACACATGGATAAAGATAAAAACAGAGCACACAACCCAAATTGTTTAACACACTCCAGCACGTACTCTTCAGACACATACTTGCACACAGATATACTATCATATTGGAATTTGGTATTAAAAAAGTCCCTAAAAAAGGTGGGGCTCTTTTGAAAGCATTGTGTCAGAGAAATGTGCTAGACTGTTTTTTGAATGACATTGGAATTTGAAAATAAATATGCTTCCTTCCCAGGGAGTATGTGATCGTTCCAAAGAGAATCTTATGATTGTCTTGTTTTATTATAAGAGAATCTACCACTCTCAACCACACTTCAGTTCATACGTTTTTGTTTTATTTAGATTGGAGCCTTGGAGTTTGTCAGAGATTAGCTGTCCTTCTCTGGGCTCAGCACTGAAGTCCAACCCTTCCCATCTGGAAGAACTGGACCTGAGTCGGAATATCCTGCAAGACACACTACTGAAGGAGTTCTGTGGTTTTCTACAGACTCCCCTCTGCAAACTGCAGGCATTGAGGTAAGACACTATGTCTTAAGTTAGTGCAAATATTCTGCCTTTTTGATACTAGAGAAACTTTATGACAAATATTATACTGATCAATTAATAGAAACTAAATGTCTTTTTTCTTTTGAACTGGGTTGGCCCAGCTGGTAGTTCGTTCTTCTTTGAACTTTCTTCCATTTATATGTCAATAATAAACATAAAAATACTTGTTAAACATTACCGTGGAGTTGCAGTCATTTTCCAGAACTTTCTAGGATATGTGTTTTGGTGCTCCTGTCACAAAACGCATATCCCGAAGAATCTCCTGTGGCTACACTAAGCCCTAAACCTAAAGAAACAGTAGTATACATGTAACTATACACTTTTAAAGCTACCAAAGTAAATTTGTAGGCTAACAATCAATTTTCTTTTGCTGTGGGCCACATAATATACTGTCCGCAACCTGTTATTTAACCTACTCATCAAACAGTGACGCGTGGGGTACTCCTTACGTGTCAGTATGTGATACGCAGGAGTCTTTGAAAAAGCATCAATATATGACGAGTTGAGAGTGAGAATGTGTTACTAAAGAGGACATAATAATTGTGGCTCAATTTTTAGAAATTCAGCAGGCTAAGGATCAGCTGTAGGGCTTTTGCTCCTGGTTTGTATTTGAGCAATGATCTTCAGTTGTCACCATTAATTTGTTATCCATGCCAGGTTTACCTGTAACTCTGCCGCCTGAAAAAGGGTATAGAGAAATCTGTACTCTTCTGTGATGTTGGTGTTATATATGCTTGTGTTATTTGTTGCACTATTTTTTTATTTCTCTCTTCCTAAAGTGTAGAAAAAACCTATATGGTGTTTTGTATTATCTTTATTGTTCATTTATTACTTTATTTCTTTTAACTTTTTACCCCACCTTCCCTCTATTCGTTTTAATCCCTCTCTTCTGTCACAATGCCACCTGAAATATTTCTCTCAGCCATTTCTAATAAAGGTTTCTCTTTACAGACTGATGGAATTATAGCAGACACCGTAATACTCCAATTGTTAAAGTGAATCTGTTAGGCTTCTCCTGGCAGTGTAGCAATATAACAATGCAGAGTTGTACTCTGCCAGATGAGAAATGATCAAAATAAAAAATAAATGAAAAAGTTTAAAAATTAACATTTATTCATTCCACTAGCATATTATTAATTCATTGGCAGTAGATAGACAGAAAGCAATAAAATAATAAAATGTGTTTCAAGGTATGGACTGCTATTACTGGTATTGATGTTACTTGTGTATTTATATGTTGTATTATAGCCCTGACCTCTGTGATGTAAACTAATAAACTAATCTTAATGATACGATAACATATTCTGGTTTTATTAGTTTTACTTTCTCTGTATTTCTGTGATTTTTACTTCATTCCATGGAATTAATTTTCTCTTTAATTCTAAATGTTTTACTCTTTATACAGAATGGAGGACTGCAGTTTGTCAGAGATCAGCTGCGCTTCTCTGGTCTCAGCTCTGAAGTCCAACCCATCCCATTTGACAGATCTGGACCTCAGTGTGAACAAAGATCTGAAACATTCTGGAGTGAAGCAGCTCTGTGGTTTTCTACAGAGCCCCTTCTGCAAATTACAGACATTAAAGTAAGTCACCATGTTTTTGTTTAGTGCTGATATTTCCGATGCAAATTGGTTTTAACTTTATACTGCAGACATATGGCTGATATTCAACAGATCCAGGTGGAGCCTTGTTTTCTTTTTGTTTCTTTGGTTGTATCTCTGGCTATCATTTTAGTGTCAGTACCTGGATGAGGATATAAGTTATGAAATTACAAATAGAAGGATTTAAATCTTTCTAAAGATTTTATAAGATTAATTCCTTTTCAACACAATCCTCTTTTTTGCATCTTGCAGCTAAAAGTATGAAAACACAGTCTGATATGAGAGGATTTCTATTGTTATTTGATGCACTTTGATATATATGTGCGTACTTCAACATTCAATTCAATTCAGTTTATTTCTATAGTGTCATCTCAAGTCATCTCAAGGTACTTTACAGATCACCAGATCATACAGTCAAATTGATTCAAAGTTTTCTATCTAAGGAAAACCATTTGATTGCATCAACTCAATGACTCGAATGCAATCCCTTACACTAAGCATGCTTGCAGCAACAGTGGAGAGGAAAAACTCCCTTTTAACAAAAACAGACCCCCAGCAGGACCGGGCTCAGTGTGAGCGGCCATCTGCTGAGGCCCACTGGGGTTCAAGAAGACAGAAGCAGAGCTACATAAAAAGTTATCATAGTGGAAATCATAGCATAAATTATAATAAATATTACAGTTATTATCTATAACCATTTCGTATCTGTCATTCTATCTGTCTGTCCATCTGTCATCCACCTACCTTTTTATCTCTTAAGTTTTGATTGCCCAATTATTGATTACAATATCTGGTATAGGCATGCCTAAAAATGTACATATTTAGTAAACCTTTGGCTTTTTCACGTAAATATGTATGTTAGTATTGGTAAAACCTGCAGAAAAAGCCAGACAGTGAGAGTGGCTTGTTTTTTTTTTTTTTATTGTGGGCTCATTGTTCAAACCAGAAAAGAACACAAGGGCAGACTCTTCATAAAAGGGCCATATTGGTCCTCCTTATATTGATGACTGTCTTAAAAGGGTGCCAACATCAGACCGGCTTGCAGTTACTACTCCTGTTTTATGGACTGTGTCTCAATAATCTAATTAAAATAGATAAAAGAATAATGTAGGTGTACATTAAATAAATGTGTTGGTGTCTTTATATGTAGCCCTCTTCATTACTAAGCTGGGAGGTTGTGCCACTGCATTCATATTTGCATCATCTGATTTTGCACTGTGGTGGACAGTAATGGTTTCTTAATATCCTCAAGTGGCCTGTGTTCACATTGTGAGACATTTGGTCAAAAACAAATCAACTAGTAATCTTTATCAACTTGTTATAATGCTTTACGTTTATTGTACTGGATCACATACATTCAATTCAATTAGTCATTTATTTTTATTATATATTTGCTTATCTCTCAGTTTTAATCTGTATAAAGTTAGCTTTAGCTCTCATGTCTATTCTTTGTTTAGATTGAAGCTCTGCAGTCTGTCAGAGATCAGCTGTGCGTCTCTGGTCTCAGCTCTACAGTCCAACCCTTCCCATCTGACAGAACTGGATCTGAGTGGCAACATACATGTAAAAGATGCTGGGGTGAAGAAGCTTTGTAGTTTTCTACAAATTCCTCTCTGCAAACTACAGACATTGAGGTAATATTTTGTATTTTATTTTGGTGCCAATATTTATGACAAAGTTATGTTGACACTAAGCAGCAGAGATATATCTGATATGAGAGGCGGTGCTTGTAAGTTGCTCTAAGCGCACATGTTCTGTGGTCCCCACACCCTGTCTATAGGCCAAGACCCACTTATGAATTTCTCAAATCCTTTGGCATAACATACCTACTAAATTTGATAAATTGAAATTTGGAACATCAGTATATCACATCATAAAATGTAGGGAGGCCTGTCAATCTGTTACCATGTTTAACGGCATGAATGTTAACCCTTAACTAAAAATAAATCCCAAATTGTTAATTAATTGATTTCTTCAAATATTCTCAGTTTGCCGGTGTATATTCTGGGTCATCTGCGTCATGGCAACCACAAAACCTGCTTAATTTTTTAAGGCAACCAGACTTTTGAAAATGTTTCTACATCTTTTCAGGAAGGCTCTCTGCTCTCCACCTCCTACATGTACAGGTGCTGGTCATAAAATTAGAATATCATGAAAAAGTAGATTGATTTCAGTAATTCCATTTAAAAAGTGAAACTTGTATATTATATTCATACATTACATACAAACTCATATATTTCAGATGTTTATTTTGTTTAATTTTGATGATTACAAATGACAACAAATGAAAATCTCAAATTCATCATATCAGAAAATTAGAATATTACTGAAGACCAATAAAAACAAAGGATTTATAGAAATGTTGGCCAACTGAAAAGTATGAACATGAAAAGTATGAGCATGTACAGCACTCAGTATTTAGTTGGGCCTCCTTTGGCCTGTATTACTGCAGCAATGCGGCGTGGCATGGAGTCGATCAGTCTGTGGCACTGCTCAGGTGTTATGATAGCCCAGGTTGCTCTAATAGTGGCTTTTAGCTCTTCTGAATTGTTGGGTCTGGTGTATTGCATCTTCTTCTTCACAATACCCCATAGATTTTCTATGGGGTTAAGGTCAGGAGAGTTTGCTGGCCAATTAAGAACAGGGATACCATGGTCCTTCAACCAGGTACTGGTAGCTTTGGCACTGTGTGCAGGTGCCAAGTCCTGTTGGAAAATGAAATCTGCATCTCCAAAAAGTTGGTCAGCTGCAGGAAGCATGAAGTGCTCTAAAACTTCCTGGTATGTGGCTGCGTTGACCCTGGACCTCAGAAAACACAATGGACCAACACCAGCAGATGACATGGCACCCCAAACCATCACTGACTGTGGAAACTTTACACTGGACTTCAAGCAACGTGGATGAAGTGCCTCTCTTCTTTTCCTCCAGACTCTAGGACCTTGATTTCCAAAGGAAATGCAAAATTTACTTTCATCAGAGAACATGACTTTGGACCACTCACCAGCAGTCCAGTCCTGTTTCTCTTTAGACGCTTCTGACGCTGTCTGTGGTTCAAGAGTGGCTTGACACAAGGAATGCGACAGCAGAAACCCATGTCTTTCATACGTCTGTGTGTGGTGGTTCTTGAAGCACTCACTCCAGCTGCAGTCCACTCTTTGTGAATCTCCCCCACATTTTTGAAGGGGTTTTGTTTCACAATCCTCTCCAGGGTGCGGTTATCTCTCTTGCTTGTACACTTTTTTCGACCACATCTTTTCCTTCCCTTCGCCTCTCTATTAATGTGCTTGGACACTGAGCTCTGTGAACAGCCAGCCTCTTTAGCGATGACCTTTTGTGTCTTGCCCTCCTTGTGCAAGGTGTCGATGGTCGTCTTTTGGACAACTGTCAAGTCAGCAGTCTTCCCCATGATTGTGTAGCCTATAGAACTAGACTGAAAGACCATTTAAAGGCTTTTGCAGGTGGTTTGAGTTAATTAGCTGATTAGAGTGTGGCACCAGGGGCCATCAATTTTGAACCTTTTCACAATATTCTAATTTTCTGATATGATGAATTTGAGATTTTCATTTGTTGTCATTTGTAATCATCAAAATTAAACAAAATAAACATCTGAAATATATGAGTTTGTATGTAATGTATGAATATAATATACAAGTTTCACTTTTTAAATGGAATTACTGAAATCAATCTACTTTTTCATGATATTCTAATTTTATGACCAGCACCTGTAGATAGTCATCACTATGGGTGAAACTGGGGAGCACATGGCACAGCCAGCTTTCTTTTAGGAAACATTATCAAAGAGTTTGCAGTATGTGCTTGATAGGCAGAGGTACGAGAGGTCACAAATCTGGCTAGGTGTTCATATGGTCCTTTCTTTCACGGTTCCCTTCTGTTCCAATTGTGTCCTGGCTGTGTTTTGATAGTTTTAAAGCAAACTAGAATTAAATAAGCCACTTAGCAGATGTATAAAGAACACCACCATCTGCATATAGCTGAATAGTACCTTAGCCGTGTAAAACCAACAAGGCAAAGTATTGAGCCTTGCAGAATGCTACTATTATGGTCAAATGTTGGGCTATGTCTTGGTCAATTTTAATGGATTGAGTGTGCTGGAATTCTGTTCCCATCCCAACTATTATTATTAGAATAACCATCATAATCTAAAGAACTTTTAAGGTTGCACATATTTATGGAAAAGCCCCTATAGGTCAAAAAATTGTATCTTCAAGATGTTATATCTCATAAAAAAAACTCAGAACCCGGTTTGAATGAAACACCTTGTGTAAAGTGTGTGATATGGGATTTAACCCAGCTTAGAAAAGTGAAGTTTAGCTCCGTCTGCCAAAAACAGTTATAAAAACTGTATAAATAATCAACAAATACATAATTATTTATTTATTTAACAGCCATTATTATTTAACAGAATAATTTAAAAGAAGTGAGAAGAAATTTCTAATTTAATCAATAGACACATTTTATTACGTTATCTATATTTGTTATTATTTCCTACAAATATTCTACAGATCTTTTCTTTCTTTTTTCTGTAAAACTAGAGTTATTTTGGTGCAGAACCTGAATTTGTATGGATGGAGTTGAAGTCAGCAGATCTTAAACTCTGTCAGCGTTAATGTTAACGAGAGCTCTTTCACTCATCTGATTTTTAAAAAATGCATGTATTGGCTTCAGGTCACATGTTTTGTTCTTTATCCAGGTTAGAGAACTGCAGTTTGTCAGAGTTCAGCTGTACTTCTCTGGTATCAGCTCTGAAATCAAACCCCTCCCATCTGACTGAACTGGACCTGACGAAGAACAACCTGAAGGGATCCGATGTTCAACACCTGGAGAATCTTGTAAAAAGTTCAGACTATAAACTGCAGACTCTAGGGTCAGTAAATGGTTTGAGTAATCCATACTAACCACATAAATAATTATACCTTTTTAGTTTTAATCTGATACACATGTAGATCTTTTTTTGTTTTTTTAATGGAGCAACAGTTGACACGAGGGCAGCAGTAAGTCACCCCCTATAAGAATCCCTCATCAGTGGAATGCATAGAACACAATCCGCAAAGGCAGCTAAAGGAAATAAGAAGTCTAAAAGTGTGGATTTCTCACCAGTGGAACTTAAAACATTCTTGACGCCTTATGAGGATTACCAGAATATATTTAACCCCTTGAACCCTACGGACCCACCGGCGGGTCCAGCTGCTACATGACCTCGTAATTTTACCAAACCCCCAGTATTGATGTAAAAAACATATTTGGCACAGTTTGGTGACATTTATGGATAAATGTACCAAAACGGCCTCTCCGCCTAAGAAATTTCTCACTAATACCATTCTAAAATAAATATGATTCATCTGATTGAGTCCACATTTTGTATATTTTTACACAACATTTAGATTTGAAAGTCTGTACTACTTTTTGGTGCTATAAATAATATTTTGGTAGTGTTTTGCAATGTTTATTTCAAAGAAAATTTTTGCGAGGTTCAAAAAATGCAAAATATTTTGTATTTTGTCCCTAACATTTCAGGCAGGGTCAAAGCTACAATGGTGCTGACACCAGAAAACCATTCTATGACATCTTACCTTTACAGACGTACCAAAAGTTTCTTCTTAAATCTAATAGCTTTGAGGCTATAAGTTATTTACTTTTGTGTGTTTTTGTCAGGCAGAAATTTATTTATACCCCCTTAGGGTGTAAGAGGTTAACAAAAGGAGCAAAAAAAGGGAGATATAGCTGACAGATACTACCTCAATATATGACAATAACATAGCTAATAATTAATGGGTGTGGGTGGGCTTCAAATGTGTCTATGGTGATTCAACAGCAGTAAAAAGCATGTAGCAGCAAATCAAGATCAAATATAAAAATACAATTAAATCTGATAAGGTCCACTTATAAGCTACTGTTATGTTTAAGTTTTATCAATAGAAGTACTTAGCCTAAATCCTTCAACAAATATGATTATTCATATTCAACAAGTTGAACTTGACTGAAAATGAAAAAAGAGCAAACATGCAGAAACTGGGACATTTTTCTTTCTCTAAAACTCCCTGTAAAAGAGGCAACTCCTTCAAGGTATTTACATTTTCACAGAATTTTTCAGTCTGACTTACTGATTACTCCAAAGGGAGTTAATAATAACAACTCTTTTGAACAATTGACCATTAGTTTCCCTAATCCAAATTGCAAAGCCATAAAGCATATTCTTTTTGTACGTTTGTATCGACCACCAGGTCCTTACTTATTACTATCTGAATTGTTGTTGAATATTGACAGGGTAATCATAGTGGGGGATTTTAACATCCATGCTGATATTAAAGATGATAGCTCAAGAGCTGCCTTTAATGCTATCTTAGACATTATTGGATTTGTTCTAAATGTGAATAGTCCCACACATTCTCATTTTCAAACTTTTTCAGCTTTTTATTTATTTATTTTTTTGGACCTTGTACTGACATATGGCATAGAATGTGAAGAAATTATAGTATTTCCTCACAACCCTGTCCTCTCTGACCACTTTTCAATACCCTTCAGGATTACTTTAACAGAGTTCTCCTCCAACAAAAGAAGGTTTCATTTTGGAAGATCATTATCTGAGAATGTTATACATTTTAAAGAATCTGTTTCACTTTCTCTCTCCTCTATGTTTCTGAGCAGTGCTGCAGAGTGCAAAAGCTTAGTTTATTCCCCTTCACAGGTTGATGATTTTGTTGATGGGGTTGCTAGTTCTCTGCAAACTGCCTTAGACAACACAGCTTCTTTTAAAAAAAATGAAAACCTTTAAAAAAGAAAGCTTGCTCCCTGTTTTAAAGCAGAGCTGCACAATCCAAAGCAAAATGCTAGGAAACTGGAAAGAAAATGGTGCTACATTCCTATGGAAATCCTACCTAGTCTCAAAATATTGTTTACTGCTATATAGGAAAACAATTCATAAAGCAAGAGCAGCATATTTCTCTTCATTAATAGAGGAGGATAAAAATATCTTTTTAGTACAGTTGCCAAACTCACCCAGAGCCGTGCTCTGTTGAACCGTCCATCCCACCCGCTCTTAGCAGTAATAATATTATAAGATTCATTTTAAATAATATTGATTTTATTAAGAAAAAGATCAATAGCACTCCTCTAACTAGGATTGGTTTGTCTCTGGAGGGTGAGGCAGCATCTGAGATAGCCTTAGAATCTAAACCGGGTTTAGACTGCTTAGATCCAGTTGAACTTTCAGAGCAATAGTTTCTCAGCAAAATTATTGTCTTCATTTAAGCCTTCAACTTGTGTGTTAGATCCAGTTCCAACCAGGTTATTTAAGAGGTATTCTCTTAGATATCCTCCTCCATTTTATATCTGATTAATCTCTCTCTGTTAAAGGGATACATACCAAAGGCTTTTAAGATTGTTGTAATTAAACCTTTGCTTAAGAAACTGTGTTTCTTACCCAGATGACTTGGTCAATTATAGACCTACTGTATATCCAATCTGCCTATCTAATTTAAAATTCTTAAGAAAGTAGCTGCCAAAGAAGTGTGTGATCACTTACACCATAATGAACTTTTTGAATACTTTCAGTCTGGCTAAGAGCACTGAAACCGCTCTGGTGAAGGTTGCTAATGATATTTTCATGGCCTCAGATAATGGACTTCTATCTGTGCTTGTCCTGTTAGATCTCAGTGCTGCATTTGATACAGTTGACCATGATATTCTTTTAGAAAGACTTGACTCTTTTGTTGGAATTAAAGGAACAGCACTAGACTGGTTTAAATTCTATCTATCTGTTTGATTTTAGTTTGTTAACGTTAATGACAAATCTTCCTCATGCTCTAAGGTTACCTTGGGAGTTCCACAGGGATCACAGTTAGGACGGACCAATTCTTTTTACTATATATATATATATATATATATATATATATATATATATATATATATACTCCCAATCAGCAGATTATTAGACAGCATGGGATAAATCTCCCTTGTTATGCTGATGATACTCAGCTATATCTGTCTATAAATCCAGATGAAGCTAACCCATTACAAAAATTACAGACATGTCTGAAGACATAAAACTTGGATGACCCTTAACTTTCTGCTCCTGAATGCAGACAAAACAGAAGTTAGAGTTTTTAATAATTAGTCAGTCCCGTCATTTTGATGGGATTAAATTGATCTCAGATAATAAAATAAAAAATCTTGGTGTTATTTTTGATCAGGATCTGTCATTTAAATCCCATATAAAAGAGGTTTCTAGAATTTCCTTCTTTCATCTGCAGAATATTGCAAAAATTAGAAATCTCCTGTCCAGGGGTGATGCTGAGAAACTAGTCCATGCATTTGTTACTTCAAGGCTGGACTATTGTAATTCTTTACTATCAGGAAGTCCAAAATTTGTAGGTTAAAGCTTTCAGCTCATCTAAAATGCTGCAGAGAGATATATCTCTCCTGCCCTGGCTTCTCTAAATTGGCTTCTTGTTAAAGCAAGTATATAATTCAAAATCCTCCTTATCACATATAAAGCCTTAAATGGCCAAGCTCCATCTGATATCAGAGATCTGATTATTCCTTATGTTCCTAACAGAGCACTTCGCTCTCAATCTGCAGGTTTACTAGTGGTTCCTAGAATTTCTAAAAATAGAATGGGAGGCAGATCTTTTAGTTATCAGGCTCCTCTCCTGTGGAACCAACTACCAGTTTTAGTCCGTCAGGCAGACACCCTGTCTACTTTTAAGGCTAGGCTTAAAACTTTTTGTTTTGATAAAGCTTATAGTTAGAGTGGCTCAGGTTATCCTGAGCTATCCCCACAGTTATGCTGCTATAGGCTTAGATTGCTAGAGGACATAGGGACCCCTATGTTATCATTTTGCTTCATTCTATCTCTATTCTCCCAATCTGCAAAATCTATTCTCTCAATCTGCAAAATCTGTTCAATCATTATGCTCTCTGCTTTTTCTCATAGTCGCTTCATCTGGTCTTTTCCTGTTTGGCTGTGAATCCACCCTGGAGAGAAATATATGCTGGTCTGCTGCCATCAACACCTTTAATTATAGATTTTCGAGATCTGCCTGTTTTTCATTGTAGTCCTGTTTCTCTGACAGTGACTAACTGGATGTGCTCTCTTTCATCCTCTGACATCGGAGCTCATCTGCCTGGCTGTTTGTTTTCTGTGGAGCTGGTTTACAGTTGGCTTTTCTGCTTCTTTATGTATGTCTGCTTCTGTCTCCTTGAACCCCAGTCAGCTTCAGCAGATGGTCTCTCACCTGAGCCTGGTTCTGCTGGAGGTTTCTTCCTTTTTAAAGATAGTTTTCCTCTCCACCGTTGCTGAGTCAGTGCAATTAGCTGGTTTTCCATACATAGAAAACTTTGAATCAATTCGACTATATGATCTGATTGAACTTAAAGTGCCTTGAGATATGTGTTGTGAATTGGTGCTATATAAATAAACAGAATTCAATTAAATGAAGATTTGTTTAGGATGTGAAAGTGGAGCAAAAAAGTATTTAGTTACCCCTTGAATGTGTAAGTTCCCCTGATTAGAAACATTACATCTGCTATGATCTTACTTTCTAGACCTTTTGTTTCTGTCAAGTTTTTACTTTTTGGGTTCCCAAGTATACTTTGTGTTGTTCTGTGTTTTCTAGATTTTTGTGATTTTTTAGTTTTGCTCTTAGTGGTTATCTCTTTTTCCTAAATTGGTATTGTTTGTTCCCTTGTCTAGTTTCAGTTAGTTGATTATCTTTACATCATGTTTTCTATTCTCTCCTTTTATCTAGTAGTTTTTATCATTATCATTCCTTGTTTTGTAGACATTAGTTTTATTCCATTTTAGCCTTATTTCAATTCTTTCTAGTTACCTTTAGACCCTGTTGTGTTCCCTGGTTATTCTTTGCTGTCCCCTGGTGTCCTTTTGTTTCCCCTTAGCTCCTTCTAATTCAGCCCCCACCTGCTCCCATCAACTAATTAGTCCCCCATTATTCTGTCTCCCATATATGCACCTCCTGTTCAGTTACTCATTGCTGGATCCCCGTCTTTTCTTAGGTTTATTCCTCTCTAATGTCTCCTAGTTTCTGTTTCTTTTATAGATCAGTTCTGGACTGTGGATTATGTGCTCTACTTCTTCACTAAGTTTTGCAAGAAATCATCTCTGCGTCTTTAGCTCTTCATTTGGGTCTGTAACTGCGTATATCCACTAAGCTTGACAGTTTAATTTTCGTCATTGGTTCAATTCAATAATGAGAGACAAAATAAGAAAAACGATCCCCACATCCATTCAATTTTCAATTCAATTCAGTTTATTTATATAGCGCCAAATTCACAACACATGTCATCTCAAGGCACTTTACAGTTCAACCAGATCATGCAGTCAAATTGATACAAAGTTTTCTATCTAAGGAAAACCAGTTGATTGCATCGACTCATTGACTCAAATACGATCCCTCACACTAAGCATGCTTGTAGCGACAGTGGAGAGGAAAAACTCCCTTTTAACAGGAAGAAACCTCCAGCAGAACCAGGCTCAGTGTGAGCGGCCATCTGCCGAGGCCGACTGGGGTTCAAGGAGACAGAAGCAGAGACACAAAAAGCAGCTGTAAAAGGTGGCCTCTTCCAGGAAACACACAGCCAGGCAAACAAGCTCCGAGCCAGCTCCCATGCCAGAGGATGAAGAGAGCACATCCAGCCAGTCACGGTCAGAGAAACAGGACCACACTGGAAAACAGGCCGATCTCCAGCATCTGTAAACAAGGGTGTTGATGGAAGCAGCACAGCTGATGTTTCTCTTCAGGATGGCGTCACAGCCAAACAGGAACAGACCAGATGAAGCTACTTTGAGAAAAAGCAGAGAGAGCAGAACGTTAGAGATTGAACTAACAGATTCTGCAGAATAGGAGATTAGGGAGAGAATGAAGCAGAATGATGAAATGGGGGTCCCTATGCCCTCCAGCAGTCTAAGCCTATAGCAGCATAACTATAGAGATAGGTCAGGATAACCTGAGCCACTCTAACTATAAGCTTTATCAAAAAGGAAAGTTTTAAGCCTAGCCTTAAAAGTAGACAGGGTGTCTGCCTCACGGACTAAAACTGGTAGTTGGTTCCACAGGAGAGGAGCCTGATAACTAAAAGATCTTTTCTACATTTAAAAATTCTAGGAACCACTAGTAAACCTGCAGATTGAGAGCAAAGTGGTCATTGTACAGATTTAAAGAGCAGCATTTAGCTCAAATGTGCCAAAGACTCAGGATAAGTTCAACAAATCCTTCTACTGACCAGATTTGGTTCACAGAGTAAGTTACAGTAGTAATTTGACTCGTGATAATAGGTTTTGCAGCTTTCTGAAAAACAAGACCCAGGATATGCAAATATCCCAGAACTTATTCTAAGTTTCCACTAATCCCACCATCCAGCTCAGTGTGTTCACTCCAACATGTTAATATGAGAGGTGAAAGTAAACTGGCTCTGCTCCACAGCTGCTCTGGTTTGCAGCATCACTGACTGACTGACAGCTAATGGAGAGAGGCTGGGAACACTCATTGATCACTTCTGTTGCTCTTTCATCTCTCTGCAGGTGGAGGTGATGATCTTAGTGGAGGAGAGAAGCTGATCTGTGTCCTGATGATCCTCAGACGTTGAAGCTGCAGCAGTTTGAGTTTAAAGAGACTCTGACTGGATCCTGATGATGAACTCTGAGTTTAGAGATTTTTTAGCTCTTTATTTTTTCTTGGTAAGTTGAAAGTGGCCTGTACTTAAATTTCTCCTTTTTATTCAGGGAACTCCAAGTTGCTTTTCCCTTTACTCTCCCAGTTAGTGTGTCTCCCAGTTAGTGATATTTTGTCTTTGAGGCATTTTGCTCTGAAACTGAAGAAAATGTTACCAACAATATGAAATAAAGCTTTGTTTAAAAGTTTTCAGCCTGCTCCAAGTTTTTAATGCTTCTGATACTGTTTCAGATGTTTTCTGCAAAGTCAGCACAAGTCATCTGTTCTGTTGATCTAAACACCTCAGTAAAAAAAAATATTGTTTCTTCAATCAGAGGATAAAGGTTGTTTTTTTTGTTTCCCATGTTCATGTGCTTTTGCTTGCCTGATATTTTGCTTGAAAATGAACTGGTCAGCAAAAGCAGTTCTCACAGCAGGAGCCAGTGCAGTGTTTAGAACAGGTGATATGTGGTCACGTTTATGTGTGCCAGTAAGGAGATGGGCAGCTGCATTTTGTACCAACTGCAGACGGTGTAAAAGTGAGTAGTCCAAGCCAGCATATAAAGAGTTGCAGTAATCCAATCTTGTATTGATAAAAGCATGGATAACGGTCTCCAGATCTTTTTGTGGCAGGTACCCTTTCACTTTTGATAAAATTCTTAACTGATAAAAGCTATTTTTTTACAACCGAACTAAACTGGCGATCAAATTTCAACCTGTCATCAAATATTACACCAAGATTTTTTACTGATGATCGAATGTTAGGCGTAAGAGGGCCCAAGAAGCCAGGGGGAAAAACTGCTGGACTACAACCAAACATTATAATTTCTGTCTTACTTTCATTCAGATTCAGAAAGTTTGAGGCCATCCAAGATTTAACATTGTTTAAGCAGTTAGAAAATGACTGGATGGAGTTGTTGGATTTTGAAGTTAAAGGAAAGTAGATCTGAACATCATCAGCATAACAATGAAAAGAAAAGATTATGGTTCCTGAAAATTGACCCCAATGGTAACATATATAAAAGAAAAAGAATAGGTCCAAGAATGGAGTCTTTGGGAACCCCCAGAACTGTACACCTCTACAAAGTCTCCGCAGCACTCCTACAGACACATCTAGTCCCTGATTTATTTTTGGGAGGTGAATATAAACAAAATTTAGCTTTACGTACTTCCAGGTGTGGCAGTGCTCTAACTTTGCAGGATTCACCAAAAACATTAGCCTCGTTGGAGTTGTGACCTTCACTGCAGCAATGCTGAGCCCCCCTCTGCAATAGGACATGTAGCTTGTTTACTCCGCCTGCAAAATTAGCATTCTTTGTATACATGGTACTTTAGTTTTATTAGCTCAAGGAATGTTTTCTAGAATAGTTTTCTAGTTTGAGTTTCTCTGCATCAGCAGTAGTTCTGGGCTTGCAATTCTCTCAAGGAGGCCTCTGGAAGATTCCAGCTTCCAAAAACATACAATTCAGTCATAGACATGATCCCTTCCAGATATCACCACACCCCCCACCCCATCACAGAGGAACGAAGCACCTACCCGCTCTAGCCGGTGAACAATACCTCCTTAACGACTGACCCTTAACAATCATAGACAGGTTTCAGGTATTACAGGAGACAATTCGCTCCCTTAACGGCAACCCCCCCCCCCTTTAATGACCGACCTTCGGGATCATAGACAGCTTTCAGATATTACAGGCTAACGATGGAACTAAACGACCCATTCATCGGTTACCATTTACATGTTTCCAAGTGATACAAGGCCTTGTCCATATAAGACTCAAACTCACTGCGGATCCAGACATTTGAATTGAGAAAGCTTCCTGGAGAGGTGGCGAAACGTCTTCAAATCTTGGAAACCAAGTCCAGTGGATATTTTTTGAACTTTTACGGAATGACTATGACCTGGATGACTGAGAATCTTCATCAGCACAAGGAGGCCATTCTTACCCAGCCTCTTTTTCTAAAAATTGCATCATAAACTCGGACCTAAACAGAGGCAGGAGACCTGCAGAGCTATAGATGGGTTTTTCTGGTTTAATGTAATTAAACCTATATTACCGGATGATTAGATAAGGCCCTATTGGAGTGATTTTGGTTGGCTGGCCAGTGCTCTGACGTCCACCACTGGTCTCCGGTTTCTTTAATTCTTTGGTAATGGCTTTAACTCCAGGAAACTGGAGCCCCAGCTGCTTCATCTTTCCTTTGTGGTGTTGGGAAAATCAAAAGGTAATGTCTTTATTTTATTGGTTAAGCAGTAATCAGGTGTAACTGGTTCAACTCATCAAAAAGAATTGTTGGCAGGTTGGTTTTGCTGTATATTTTCTGTTGTTCAGTTAAATATTTTTTGTAAACTGGATTTTAAATTTACTCATGTTATCTATATGTGGTGAACCCATGGGCAATAATAATTAAATAAGTGAGAGAAAAAGCTTGAACAGACTACAAATAGAATACAGCATACAAATAGTGGAACATCCTTGCTTTAATCCTAAATTAAACCATTAAATTCCTAAAGAATGTTTTTAATTATTTGTAAAACCCAAAAAAAAAACATGCCTAAATAGTTCATCTGGAAGTGTAAGTAAAGATTTCAAGGCATTGTTTTTCCTCTGTAATATATGTTGACGGAGGTTAAACAATATTTATCAGACTGTTATGAATCATCAACAGCTTTATAGAAACCACAAGTTAGACAGATTTCCTTTTCACCAAATCCTGACCCAAATCTGAAGATATAAACTATATTCAGGCTGCTTTTTCCATTTCTTTGTTCCAGATCTAAACGTCTTCATTCTTCTTAGCTTTTCCATCAGTTCCACCAATCCAAAAAGGCCTCTGGAAAAGGAAACCTTCCTGTTTTACCTCTTCTGTCCCTGTAAAATAATCATCCGATTTTAATGGGCTTTGCCCCTTTTTCAATATATAATAGAGCAAAATGTTCCTTAAGCCCATCCCTTCTTTGTCCTCCAACATATCAGCTTCATCAACATGCAAACAAGTGAGCAGCAGCAGAGTGAAATGAGAAGCTTCTGATAAAGTCTGTAAGCATTTCCGTCAAACCAGCTTCATTTGTTTAATAAAGGACTAAACAAACAAAAAAACAACAACTAAATTGTCAAGATTTGGTGATGAATGTTCTGAATATGAAAAGCAACAGAGATCCTGGTGATTTCAGGGATCTGTTGAGTTGATGTCCAGTCATGGGGAACCACCCTGCTCGTTGCTCACTTCCTTCCAGTGTTCTTTAATATGAATCTTTATCCATTCAGCTCTGCTCAGTAGCAGGATCACCTTCCTTTTCTCTTTCGAATGTCTCTCATTTCCAAAGAAAACCTTTAAAATGTCCTGGATTACGACAGCTGCTTCATGTCGTACATCGGTACCTCAGACTCAGCCGCCTGGTCTTCAGTCGGCCTGGCTGCACCTGGGCTGCTCTTACGGCCTTTAGGAGGAGGAACAGGAGCGAGTGTGTCTGCAGCCCCCTCAGCTCCTTCCTGGCCCTCCGCCACAGTCCTTTCTTTCTTCAGGTTCAGCTTTGCTGGGACGGTCTTGGTGAAGGTCTCCTTCAGCTTCTCACCAGAGTGCTTCAGCTTTTCTCCAGACTGGCGGATTTTCTCACGCCTTTCGGCCGTTACGATTCGCTCTCCAAACTTGTTGACCTTGGTGCCCAGGTTCTCACGGGTCTTGCTCATGTTCTCCTTGGAGAAGGTGGCTTTGAAGCTCTCCATGCGTGTCATCCCTGTCTTCTTCACACGGCCAGCGGCTGAAGAGTCTGCTTCCTCCACAACCATGTACTCTTCATCTGATTCTGGGGGGAGTTCAAACTTGTCTGGTTCCACCTCAGGTCTCGCTGCGGCTGCACCGCTGGACTCTGCTGGCTCGTTACCTGGCGTGATAGCTTTGACTTCCTGGTCACCCTGAGAGACAGTAAAGGATATAATATCAACCTCTGGATTTTGCAAGTCTAACCTTTGGAATCTTTTTTTGCATCAGAAAAAGATTAATAGTGATGTCAGGTTTAAATCCGTCACTGGTTCAAATGCGTCATCCAGACTTGAAGGGTTAGTTTGCAGGTCTTGATCCTGCCTCCAGAAATAAACTGCAGCACCTGTTTCTGCAGCTCAGCGCTGGGTTGCAGGATGCTAAACATATCGGTGAGCTGCAGCATATGGAGCAAAGCTGGGGCGCCTTCAGCTTCAAGATGCATCATGATGTTTATCTGTCACTAACTTGTATCAGGTTACGGAAAAATGCGGAAGAATTAGCTGCAAACTAACCCAGATTCATAATTAAACAGACCTCACTCATTCCTACAGGGAGCTGACCAGTGCAAGCACCACACTGTTCAACAGATTTAACGTTTATCATTTGTGCAAGTTAATGTGACTGATTCCAAAGCATCCACAAAAAAGTACAGTTAATTATGTTCAATATTGAAATGTGGGAATATTGATTACAAGATCTTTGCTTTCAGCACTGTGATCTTATTGGAAAACTTGTGAAGCCTCAAAGGTTACAAAGCCATGACTTAGAATCATGTCAGTGGGAGCGTCAGCATATTTGATTACATGCATCACCGGTGACACATGATACCTGATCGGCTGACATTTCCAGGCCTTAGACAGAAACCATTCCTGCCATAACTGAGCTACAGGAAGTGAACACACAGCATCAGTTACTAACCGAAAGGTAGCTGACAAATTTTGGAGGACTGGAGTACATGTCCTGTTACAATACTTATACATTATTGTCCAGAGATAAACACAAATATTTAGCATTATAAATGAATTTCAAGTACTAAAAACCTGCTAACTAAGCTAAGAATGGTACAACCCAATGCTACAAAACCTCAGATTATCGCAAGTCACGGGTCTTTCTCGCTTAATTTAGATCATCTAATGTCTCTAAGCCAATCAAATTAGTTAAACTAAAACCTGCCTTCTGGGCAGGTAGTAGCCAATCAGTGGCTAGCATCATGATTGGACAAAAAATACCAGGGGATGAGCAGACAGCTATATTAGGAGATGGTGGAGGCTTAGACTCAGAATAACTTGGTCTGTCAGCTCTCAGCTGGTTCAGTCACTTATATGACAGCAGCTGAACACATGCTGCATTCTGGTTGAATAGCTGCATAAGAATAAAAGAGGCTTACTGGCTCTACCTTAAGATTTGAAACATTTATGAAAGAGGCAGATAAACACAATTAACA